GGTTTGGGTGTGAAAGCTCACTGAATATCCTCTGGATAAACCCACACCAAGACATAGGAAAAAAATAACTGAAGTTTAAAAGGGCCAGGGCATAACTTAATTGGTAGGGGCTTGACTACCAAGGCAAAATACACACAGGAAAAATTTATCTAGGGCTAAAATGTTATTTACATGAGAGAAAGTAACACCCAGGTCTACTTTCAGCATTCATTTAAGTATTTCAGTTTCTAACCACAGCTATCAATAACAATTACTGCCTTTAGTGCTGAAGCATCTGATCTTTATGACTTTGTTGTTTATTGCATAACACTTTGCTCTTCGGTATGTCTTTAGCACTTTGAGCCTGTTTGTTAAACTGCTAAGTCTTCTATAGATGTCAGCTCTCAACTGACCACCCGGGCAATTAATCAGTAAGTACTAAAAGTATTAATTTATTCTTGGTCTATTAACAATTTTTATCACTGTCTACAAACCAAACTCTTGCATATCCTTCCTGGAAGAAGAGAGTTCATTCCGGACACCTAAAAATTTCAGAAGTACATTTTAAGATGAGAAGTTCTACAGTTTGTAATATGCTTACTAAATATCATCACCTAGCAATCTCATGACTTGGTGCTTGGTTGAGAATCTAGTACCAGGAAGTGAAACCAAACAAAAACCAGTCTATATAGCAACTTCCAGAACTCATGGATTTTATTAGATGACTAATGGTCCAGTTATCTGAATTCTAGAGGACCACATGAAAAGGGAAGGAGAGGCCAGGTGCTGGTGGCTAATGCCTGTAATCCTACTCAGGAGGCTAAGTTCTGGGGATCATTTGAAGACAGTGTGGGTAGGAAAAGTATGAGACTTTGATCTCCAATTAACCACCTCCTCCAAAGGAAAAAAAGAGAAAAGAAAAACCAAAAATGGAGCTCCAGCACTAGAGCCTTGAGCATAAAAGCTCACAAACACACACACACCACACAGTGAAGGAACAAACCAAGAGCAGAAAGAATTCAAAGGAGGCAGCAAACAATGATGAAATACTATTTAAATGTAGAGAGATATTTGGGGCTATGAGTTCAAAAGTTTACAAAAATTCCATTATTCCCCAAGCACAGCAGAATTTTCAGACAGACCAGGCCTTTTTGCTCTATTTGCAGAATAACTTGTATTTGCTGCTTGCACAAACTGCCACTCAGAACTTCCTTGTTAGACCCCATCTGCTAAGAATCCTCCCATCCCTTCTCTAACAGTACATGGCTTTTCTCAACACTCAGATTTATCCTTAATCCACATTATGGTCTGACCCTAGTTTTCCTCATGGTTCACCTTCTAATTCATAATACAGCATACAAAATACCTGGCCCAGAATTTTGTCCCATTTCTAACTTCTTGGAAACACACATGAAGGCTCTGCTTGGCAGACATTTGCTTCTCACTCCCTGCCAGATGTCCAGATAGTCTTAATTTTCCAAGTATAGCTCACTAGAGTAACTCCATGTTACTCTGCCTTCTTCTGGCTGCTACTGACTGGCTTATCCATGAAACAGAGTAAATATACCATCTGTTATGTCATTCCTCCATATTGTCTGGGAAGTACTCTGTTATCAAACAAATGCATTTCTACAGCAAAAAGAAGTCATTCACATGAGATGGAATAAATAATAACTACATATAGCAATTGTATTCTTTCAGGTCAATTTTGCTGCCAAATAAGTTTAGAAAAAAAATCTCTCAATTTTTGGGCCCCAGAATTAAAGATCAAATAATTTTCTACTTCTATATTCTTTCCTTTCTGTTTCTTCCTCCCTCCCCACTCCTTTCCCTTTCACCTTCCCCCTCCTCCCTCCCTCCCTTCCTTCCTTCCTTCCCCAACCCCTCTCTCTCAGCAGTACTAGGGTTTGAATTCAAGTCTTAGTGGCTGTACTACTGCTTGAGCCACACCTCTAGCAACGAAAGTATTAAGATTTAGTGCTTCAGCAGACAATTCCAGTTTCAGATTATTTTACTGGTACAAAAAAAAAACCAACATATATTACTTGTATTAAGTATTATATTATTTTATATATGAACCAAAATATTAACTCAGGCAACATATGAAGCTTAGAAATGCAACAGAAAAGGAAATAAATGCTGTAGTGTATTTATCCTTTGACAAGTATTACTTGGGCAATAAAGACAACTAAGTTACTAAAAAAATTATTTTAGTAAAACTAGCACCATATTATTATTTTAAGATTAGTGAAAGTATATGTTCAGCTTTAAATATTTACTATGATCACCTCTTCCAAGTTTTCCTTCTTTGGTATCATATAACCAGCTCTAGTTTCTTAGGCAAGTAACTATAACTTGTTTCATAGTGCTTTAACATTGCTATTTTTATGTATCTTTTCTAGAATGAACATCTTTCAGGTTGTTATTTATTTTTAAGAGTCCAAGCAGGATTCTGGATACAAGATCCAATTTCAGTTTATTAGATATTTGTTTGGAGTACTAATCCATATGGTTTTTACTGTAAATCCCTATTTAATTTCATGTTTACATTTATACTTCCAATAATATTCCATCTGATTTAATAACCCACTGCAGTCACTAGATTCCTGGTTTTAAAAAAAGTTTTTAAGTACAGGCAACTTGCTACTTATGATGAACATCATGAATAACACATTAAAGACAGACATTGACCAAATTGAAAAGAAAAATTCCACAGTGGATCTCAATTAAAGCTAAAAATCAAAAAAGCCATACCTTTCTTGTATTATTACATTTCTAGGATCCAGAGAGATTTATAGTTTCCACACTCACTTGACATAATTAAAGCTCAATTTAATATCTTAAGCACTTAGAGTACTAGTCCAGGAGCCTACAATTATTTCCCACAAAGAACAAAAGAGTAAATGCTTTAGGCTTTCTGGGCAATATAAACTTACAATTACTTATAAACATACAACAGCCATAAGGAAATATATAACCAAACAGGCAAGGGCATATTCCAATAAACTTTTACCTATAAAAACTGCTAAGATGGATTTGACCCACAGGTTGTAGCATGGTCCTTTCCTAGTCCAGCTGAAGACTTTAACACTAGATCTAGACAATGGACACAAATCTTTACTAGAACTAGACAATGGATAGCAAATTTTTACTAATTCCTTAGTCTCCAGTTAACTCACTTCTTAAATGAAGTCTAGTAAAAGCATCTCCACATCTGCTAAATAACAGAAGTGCTTTTTCTTTTTCCTCTCCCTTACTCTCTTTCCTCAGAACTGTTTTTGCTTTGTTTTTAAACCAGAAAACCACAGTCTCATTAAGCTCTTCAATTTTATCATAGGACAATTGGTGAGGCACTTAAGACTCAGTAAGGCTTTTTTTAATGCAGATGTCATTAAACAGAATTTAAAATAATTTTAAAATCCATAGTTTAACCTCTATTTTATTCAAAATGAAGAAAGTTCCAAAAAGATGTTGTAAACTATCTTAACACCTGTTTTTAAAATAAGGAAGGAAGAAGGGAAGGAAAGAAGGAAGAAGGGGGGGGTAGGGAAAAGGGAAGGACTGAGTAAAGACAAGTAAACGGGTACTTTTCCCAATAGCGAATGCATTCATAAATTTAAAACGAATGTAGTTAGTTCAGTTAATAGGTTAAACTTAAGTACTTGCCACTGAATTCAAAACTAGCAAAAGAAAAGGAAAATTACCTAATCTAAGATCCACAAATAGCACTGAAGAAGCTTCGCCAAAACTCAGGTCTTGAAGGTCTGGAGTCTTCCTATTCTGTACCAATCTATGTGAAATAAGTGCACTCCAAAGTAAGGCAGCATTCTCCAACTGTCGCTATTCTTATGCTAAATAAACTTGCCCGCCCGCCCCCTTTATTAAAGAAAGAAAAGCCTACGTCGCTTCAAAGCTTCTCTAACATCGTTTTCTCCAAGACACACTTGGTAAAACAAAAAGTTTGCAAAACAAGGAGACTTCTTCTCTGCATCCATCTCAAGCCCACTTTGAAGGGCGCTTCTGTTTTCCTAACGAATCTCGAGAAATTACAGTTCTTCACTGCACTGCGGGGCTTTTTGTTTCTCCTCTAAGCTAAACACATCTCCCCTAGGCTGTAAATTCTTTTAAGGGTGCTCACTCGGCTCCTAAAAAGCACTAAGGAACTCTTTGGGGAAAAAATAAAGTAAAATGATGGCACATAAAAACGATGTAGCCTTGGAGGAGGTCGGGCCACCTGACTCATCTGATTTGACAGCTCGCTCGCCAGCGGTACACGATAGGGTGATTAATCAGGACCAGAAAGCGCCGTGCAACGTGTCTGACCATTTACAATCACCCGAAACGACGTCGGGCTGGCCAACAGGGGAAGAAGGAACTATGTTCTGATCCTGAAGTGGAGACGGTCCGGCACCCCCCCCCCGCCCCGCCCAGTCCGGCAAACCCGAGAGGGCTGCCCGCCCAGAACGCACGGCCCCGGGGAGAACCGCGCCCGGAGGAAGCGGGGCTGGGGCCGAGGCGCTCGGGGGCCCGACAGGGCGGGTTCGGGGAGTGGCGTGCTAGCCGGGCGAGGCAGGTTCCGACCTCCCGCCTTTCCCCGCACCGGGCCCCGACGGAGCACAGACTCCGCGCCTACCTGTTGTGCTGGGGCGGGGGAAGGGAAGCCCGGCTTCTCCCGGGAGCCCGCGGGGACGACCGAGCGCACCGCCGCCGGGGACCCCCACGATCCCGCCAACCTCTCCCTGGCGGGCTCCCGCTCCCTAGGCCGCGACCCCTGACCCCCCTCGGCTGGACCCTTCACCCCGGAGCTCCGGCGACCACACGGCCTCGGCGACCACGGCCCGGCCCCTGGAGCCGCTCGCTGCACTGCCCGGGAAGGCCGGGGTCACCGTCCCGCACCAGCCGCCAGGCTGGTCCGACACCGCCCCCTCGCGCCCGGGCCGCGCCTCTCCCGGGATCCCCGACTGTCCGCCCAGAGGGTATCCCTCTTGGCTCCGCGCCGGCGCCAGTCCCGCCACGTTTACCTGCTCCCCAGCACGGCGAGGAAGCCCCGGGACGCGCGCGCCGAGGCCACCGGGAGGCACTGAGGCAGCGGGGCGGGGCGGGGCGGGGCGGGGCGGGGCAGGGGGCCGGGGGAGCCGAG